ATATGGAAGTACCTCCAGAATACTTTTATAATCTTGCCCAAGCAGAGGGAAATCCATTGTTCTCCTGGGTGCTGGTACCTCCCAAAATGGGGCTGATCACATGATCCCCATTTCCTTCTTAGGCAAGCAGCCATGCAACACCCAGGTGTCTCAATTATGAAGGGGATGGCGTGATGAGATAACATGATCTTGGTGACTAATTGACCATTCATTATCAGTGGGAAATAGGTCAATGGAGGGATGATAGGAGTTACTATAGAGAACTTTCTGGGTGTCTGGCTGGTGAGTCTTGCCCACGCTCAGGGGTTAGCTGATTGCCATATTTGGGGTCAGGAAGGAATTTTCCTCCAGGGTAGATTGGTAGAGGCCCTGGAGGTTTCCTCTTTAAAAAAGGAATAAGGGATCTTTCGGAAAAGGCTTTATTTTCCGAAAGATCCCCGTCTAGACTGGCGCTTTTTTCCGGCAAAGCTCTGAGCCGGAAAAAGGCGGCAGCCATGTTTATGCAAATGAAGCAGGGGGATTTAAATCCCTGCTTCATTTGAAATTGCGATGTGACTAATTTGCATCCCTTTTACGGAAAAGGGATGCAATCTAGACACAGCCCATGTCTTTGGTGCCTGCTACTGACAGAAACCATTTAAGTTACAAGCACAGAGCCCACAGTCATAACTTCACACACACAAATCATACACATATACAAGTAGCTTAGACAGACTCAGCAAACCATGAGCTTTCATTAGACACCTCACTTGGCCCCCTTAGCACAGAATTTGGGGCAAACACAACGAGTATGTTAAATCCAATAATGTGACACACTTAGACTTGGGTGTCTGATTTTCAGCCAATGAAAAGTTGGCAACCCTAGTCTGTCACTGACAAGGCCTGTGATGGGGAAAGTGAGGGGACGGAAGGAGGTTGCAGGAGCTACCTGGGCAAAGTTGCCCCAGCAGGAGCCAATTGTGTAGCACTGACCAACGGTGTCTCCCCAGCATCCTGCTCAGAGCTGAGCACTGGTATCTCCCCTCCCCCTCCTCACCCTTCCTTCTGGCATCTCCCCCCATGCCTGACCCCCCAAATACTGGTGCTCTCCCCAGGAGTCTCTTCTAGCCCTGCAGATGGGGCAGGCTCCGTTTCTCCAGCACAAAGGTGATGACGGGTGCAGACACCAGGAGCAGCAGGACCAGGATGCAGCGGGCGGCCCAGATGGCAGGGGACATGCTCAGTCCTGCAACATGGAAAGGGCCATGGTGAGGGCCGTGTGCAGAGCAGCATGTGGCCCTGCGGAGCCAGCAGTAGGGCAAAGCAGCTGCTGTGTTACGGGGACCCCGTGTAACATCCCAGAGGCCTCACTCTATGGGGGGGATCTTGCTGCAAGGGGCACGTTCAACTGAAGAGAGGCCTAAGTGATGAAGGCCATTGGGGAGGCATCATAGGATGCGGGGACAGGGCTCTGGCATCCCTGTCCACAGCTAGATGTGACCCTAATCCAGCAGGTAGAAGAGAAGGTTTATTGATTCCCATGGACACAGCGTAGCACAGGATTGGGGTTAATACAGGAACCAGGAGCCGTCCGTACTATTCCTCTCGGGGAGAAGCAACTCTGGGCCCTTCTCCTCCTTCCTGCTCTGAGCCCCCTCCTCATCTTAAACCTGCGGAGACTGATGCCCGCATCCCCCAGGCCCTAGTCTCCAGCTTGCAGTCAGCCCCGCCTACCCTTTTGTTCCCTTCCCTGGCAGAAAGTGTCATCTCCTAGGGTCTGGTCCTCAAGTGAGAGAGGCCAAACACCCTTTTTCAGTGAGTCACCCCCCACCTCCTCCTCCAGACACTGTTGCAGTGTCCAGGGAAAGCAAAGCACGTACCCCCCCACAGCACGGAACGGCACAGGACAGTGGAATCACACACATCACCACAAAGCAATCAGAGTGAACACAGTCTCCACTGTACCACAAAAGGCTCCAAGCACAGAGTCCCTCTCACCCCAGTTTTCTCAGGCTGCACCAAGACTCTGTGCAAAGGTGCACAGAGACATCTGTGACAGATGCAGCAGCCCAGACTCTGTTACCTCTTCCTCGTTCACCACACCCCTTTCCCCTCTGAGGAGAAGGTAGCATGTGGCCTTGGCATTAGCTGTGTCCTGAGGACAGACTGAAGTTCTTTGCTGCTGATGCAAATTCTTTGGGGGATGCTGAGATAAATACCCAGTTTTGGGATCTGCTGAAGACAGTTCCTGGGGCTTGGTGGCTGCCTAGGAGCCAGACACTGGAGCTGGGCTGAGGTTCCTGGCAGAGGGGTTTGCCCACACGCCGGGTGTGACACTGGGCCAGGCCTGGAGCACAGAGCGTAACTAGCTAATGACACGGAGACAGAACCTGGGAGCCCAGGTGGGATGATGCGTCTGGTGCCTCCTGCCAGAGCAACCCCCCACCCAGTGAGTGCAGAGGAGGCGATAACTCACTGGCTGCCGGGTTAGCAGAGGGGCAGGGAACTCCAGAGGAAACTTGGCCATCCTATGAATTTAGATTCCCCCTCTGAAAGAGCCACTTTCTTGCCCTGCAAATATACAACCCAGCTCAGCCATGGTGGGCAAAGTCTGGGAGTGCTCCAGGGAGATTGTCCTACATTGGATGAGCCCCTCCCCTTGGTACTTCCTGATGTGTTCCCTTTACATCCATCACCATGGCGATTGCACTCAGACTGGGGCTGCCCAGCCCAGGTTCCACTTTTCCCTAAATAGAGACCCTACAACACAGAAACACTTCAGACACATTTACCTGGTGGTGAGGAACCCCCGACACTGCTACTGGAGTCATCACCTAGGTAACAAACACACACGAGATCAGTACACACCATGGCCCACTCTAGGCTCCTATGCTTCTCAAGCACCACTGACCACAGGTGATAGCTGCCAATCAAGACGTGCTTTTCCGAAAATACTTTTAACGGAAAACTTTTCTGTTAAAAGCATTTCCAGAAAATCATGCCAGTCTAGACGTATCCACCAAGTGCAAAGGAGGCAACAACTCACTGGCTGCCGGGTTAGCAGAGGGGCAGGGAACTCCAGAGGAAACTTGCCCAGCAGAAGGGTTTGGGATTCCCCCTCTGACAGAGCCACTTTCCTGCCCTGCAGAGACATTTCCAGGCTCAGCCATGCTGGGCAAAGCCTGGGAGAGGGGCAGGGAGAGAGAGCAACACATTGGATGAGCCTGACACCCTGTTCCGTGTCATTGTGTGTTTGCTCCACCTCAGTGGTCACCACACAGCACATTGGGAACTATGGGCAGATCCTGGCACCTCTGACGGGGGATCCTGACCAGATTGGCCTGGAGGCTGCCAAGTGTGGGCATTTCAGCTGCCCCTCCTCTTTGCCTGGCTTCTGCTGCTGCCCTTTGCCAGGGATCTGTGTCTGGGAAACATCCTGCTTGCTGTGCAGAGTGGGCCATGCAGAGGAAGGGGTGCTGATGTCAGGCTGTCCCCCTTCCCACACCTTTGTACCCCATCTCCCTGGGAGGGGGCATGACTGGACTTGGGATGGAAGGAGCTTGCTGGCAGCTGCTCCTATGTCTGAACATACTGAGTGTATTTAAAGGTGCAACATGCATCTGTCATAGTCATGCAGTGAAGATGTAGCCAGGGTGTGAGTTCTTCCAGCAGAAAATATTCTAGAGGGACTCATTAGCATAAGTCGTGATCTCATTAGCATATTTTCTGTCATTTTTTGTGCAAAAGGAAGCAGCGTGAATGGGGTTTTTTTGCGCAACCCCCCGTTTTGCGCAATATCCTTATGCCTCTCATAAAACAGGGTTTTGCGCAAACCCCACCCCCGTCCAAAATATGCGAATGAGATTGTGAATTAGTCCCTCATCATCATATTTTCTGTGAGAAGAAGTCACAGTGAAGACGTAGTCTGTATGTATCTGTCACCCACAAACATTGTGTGTCCCTGTGTTTTACTCACACAAACTCTTGTCTTTCACATTCTTAAAAAAATTGCATTATATGGAGCATTTAGGTTTCTACTGGTGGTGCAAATCCGCACATCACCTCACTAACAAAATCCACAGCCTGGGGCAGGACAAGGTGCTGCTGTGGGCTCAGGTCTACTCTGAAAGATGCGGGCCATTCTTAAAGAGATAATGAACTTTTTCTGAGATTTGCCCAGCAGCCAGCTTACAGTCTCTTACACACTCTCTGTCTCTGGGTTACACACACACATTGTCCATTTCACACTCACCTCCCAGCATATACGTGTATTGTTGTCACTATTTGGCACTTCCTGTATAATGAAATATACACCGTGCGCTACTGGAGTGTTTTGACTGCTCTGTGCATTTCATCATTATTATTTCTCTTACACCAAAATTTAATCATTTGAGCTGTGATTTCTAAAATACTCCGGCTGGAGGAATTAGCCCGATAGTAACTTTTAAAAATATATCTATCATAGATCTAGGTCTTTTGATTCTACTGGTGGTGCCCATTGGCTAAGACCAGGGAACTGTGACCAGTGAGAGTTGAGGGGTTGTGCTGGCAGAGAGCCCCCCCCCCCCCCATCCACCCTCAAGGCCACAGAGGCACATTGGCTCCTTCTGAAAGTGGCATTGGGCTGAGGAAGGCAAAAGTCACCAGTTCCCCATTCTGCCTCCTGCACCCAAACGCCAGACCCGAGACCCCTCCCAGAGCCAACACCCCAAAATCCTTTCTGCACCCCAACCCTCTGCCCAAGCCCAGAACTCCTCTGAGCCACCACCCTGTATCCTGTCTTGTACCCTGACACTCAGTCAGCCCAGAGCCCCTTACTGCTCCCAAACTCCCACCCACAGCTTGCACCCCACATCCTCTCCTGCACCTTAACCCCTTAACCCCAGCCAAAATCCTGAATCTCCTTAAAACCCCCAACCCTCTGGTCTAGCATGGTGAAAGTGAGTGGTAAGGGGGAGGAAATGCAATGAGCAGAGCGCACGAACAAACACACACACACACACACACACACACACAGTTACCGGTGACACTGAGGAGTTGGGCAGGGCTGAGCTGAGATCTGTTCATCCAGTTGCCACTGTCCTGGATCTCGTACCCACAGGAGTAATTCCCCGAGCTGCCCCCAGACACCATGTGATCATAGTCGTAGGACATCTTCTCCTCCAAGACCCTGTGGATAAAAACCTCCTCCCCGTCCTTGCAGAACACGATGCGGGTGGCCAACGGTCTGGAGAACACAGAGCACCGGAGCCGCACGGTGTCCCCTGGCCAGGCAGACGTCTGGTTGATATAGAGGATGGGGGCAGGGAGAGCACCTGGCAAGGGAAAGGGGTCAGAGCTGTGAGTGGGGCATTGCTGGTGCCTGGTGCTGTCAGTGGAACAGGAGGTCAAAGGCAGGGGTGTGTGCTGTGTCAAGGATGGAGGCTCTGATCCCAGCCCACCTGGACAGATGTGGGGACGAGCTCTCTCCAAGACCAAGGGGCTTCGTTCCCTGAGATCTCTGGGGCTGCAGAAGAGCCCAAGGGCTGGGCGGGCTGGGCTCCCATTGCCTGGTGCTGCGCAGTGTCCTACAACAAGGGGCCCTGGTGTGGGCACCCACTGACCCAGCTGCAGCTGCATGGCCAGGAGACAGGTGGCCAATGAGCGAGGCTGGACACTGGTCGCTGGGGGCTGTCTAGAGCCTGGGCAGCACCGGCTCCTGCCCCACCGAGCTAATAGGCCACAGCCAAGGGACAGTGTCCATATTATCCACCCTGTCTTTTGCCTGTGTACCCCACACACCTGCTGGGGGTGTTTCCCTGCCCCACCTAAAGTGGCATCATAGACAATAAAGGGGGTAGTCTACAGCCTTAACTGAGATCCTGCTGGCTTTTAGCTTAGGCAGTAGAGGCTCATGCATAAGTCTCCAGAGGTCCCAGTTTTGGTCCAATCTATGAGCATTACATCCATCCCGCCCCCATTCCCAGCTGGCACAGGGGGGCACCAGAAGCAATTCCAGGCCCAGGCTAAAGGAAGGTCCTGGAACAGCGACAGGGAGAGGATCCCCCTTTCCCAAGGACAACAGCCAGGGCGATGGGACCCAGCTCTGAGCTCCCTGGCTACCTGCCCCAACAGCACCCCCAGCTGGTGCCCTGTGCAGGCAGCCAGCAAAGAAACAGCCTAGCCACACCCACACATGGTCACTGGGTGCGGTTCCCTGTCCCGGGTCATATGGGAACTCAGCCTGGGTTATATAATAGGGACTATACACTCTCGAAAGCCACCTGCCCACCGTGAACTGACTAACAGTGCTGCTGATGTCTGGGAACAAGGCGCAGGCTGAGTCTAGTAGGGGGTGACTCCAGGGCAGAGACATTCAGCCGTGGTGAGCCGGGAGTCAGTGTGTGGGAAGGTAAATCCCTTCGGGTCAGAGCCGACACATTCTCTCCTCCCCAGGACCACTGCCCGGGGCTGGGACAGTCGTCAGCGTAACTCCCTAAGCCACCTGTCAGACCCCTTCTGGGTCAGGGCAGAGCTGAGAGGCAGCAGGACAGGGAAGGGCTGGCTGGATCCCTGCTCAGATTCCACACGGCCCATTTGCTTCCCCATGTAATTGCTGCTGGCACTGCACCGATTAGAGAGCACCCCAAGAAGAGGTGGATGGACAACTGGAGAGAGAGCCATAGGCAGGCTAAGGATGGGCAGACAGACAGAGACAGACATTTGGACTCACCGGGAGCTGAGCAGATCTCCTGGCTGCTGGGGCTCAGCACTGGGAACAGAAAGGTGCCATGTGGTTAGTGCTGGAGATACCAGAGACAGACATTTGGACTCACCGGGAGCTGAGCAGATCTCCTGGCTGCTGGGGCTCAGCACTGGGAACAGAAAGGTGCCATGTGGTTAGTGCTGGAGATACTCCCTCCCCATTTTCTGAAATCGCTCTTGAGGGACAAAAACTGCCTTTATAAGGGAAAAAAGTCTGGCCCAGCAGAAGTGTTTGGGATTCCCCCTCTGAAAGAGCCACTTTCCTGCTCTGCAAAGACATTTCTAGACCCAGCCGTGCTGGGTAAAGCCTGGGAGAGCAGCAGGGGGAGAGAGCGCTGCATTGGAGGAGCCTGACACCCTGTTCCGTGTCATTGTGTGTTTGCTCCACCTCAGTGTTCACCGCCCAGCACATTGGGAACTACGGGCAGATCCTGGCACCTCTGACAGAGGGACTGGAGCACAGAGCGTGACTAGCTAATGACTCGGAGACAGAACCTGGGAGCCCAGGAGGGATGATGCGTCTGGTGCCTCCTGTCAGAGCAACCCCCCACCCAGTGAGTGCAGGGGGAGGCAACAACTCACTGGCTGCCGGGTTAGCAGAGGGGCAGGGAACTCCAGAGGAAACTTGCCCAGCAGAAGGGTTTGGGATTCCCCCTCTGACAGAGCCACTTTCCTGCCCTGCAGAGACATTTCCAGGCTCAGCCATGCTGGGCAAAGCCTGGGAGAGGGGCAGGGAGAGAGAGCAACACATTGGATGAGCCTGACACCCTGTTCCGTGTCATTGTGTGTTTGCTCCACCTCAGTGGTCACCACACAGCACATTGGGAACTATGGGCAGATCCTGGCACCTCTGACGGGGGATCCTGACCAGATTGGCCTGGAGGCTGCCAAGTGTGGGCATTTCAGCTGCCCCTCCTCTTTGCCTGGCTTCTGCTGCTGCCCTTTGCCAGGGATCTGTGTCTGGGAAACATCCTGCTTGCTGTGCAGAGTGGGCCATGCAGAGGAAGGGGTGCTGATGTCAGGCTGTCCCCCTTCCCACACCTTTGTACCCCATCTCCCTGGGAGGGGGCATGACTGGACTTGGGATGGAAGGAGCTTGCTGGCAGCTGCTCCTATGTCTGAACATACTGAGTGTATTTAAAGGTGCAACATGCATCTGTCATAGTCATGCAGTGAAGATGTAGCCAGGGTGTGAGTTCTTCCAGCAGAAAATATTCTAGAGGGACTCATTAGCATAAGTCGTGATCTCATTAGCATATTTTCTGTCATTTTTTGTGCAAAAGGAAGCAGCGTGAATGGGGTTTTTTTGCGCAACCCCCCGTTTTGCGCAATATCCTTATGCCTCTCATAAAACAGGGTTTTGCGCAAACCCCACCCCCGTCCAAAATATGCGAATGAGATTGTGAATTAGTCCCTCATCATCATATTTTCTGTGAGAAGAAGTCACAGTGAAGACGTAGTCTGTATGTATCTGTCACCCACAAACATTGTGTGTCCCTGTGTTTTACTCACACAAACTCTTGTCTTTCACATTCTTAAAAAAATTGCATTATATGGAGCATTTAGGTTTCTACTGGTGGTGCAAATCCGCACATCACCTCACTAACAAAATCCACAGCCTGGGGCAGGACAAGGTGCTGCTGTGGGCTCAGGTCTACTCTGAAAGATGCGGGCCATTCTTAAAGAGATAATGAACTTTTTCTGAGATTTGCCCAGCAGCCAGCTTACAGTCTCTTACACACTCTCTGTCTCTGGGTTACACACACACATTGTCCATTTCACACTCACCTCCCAGCATATACGTGTATTGTTGTCACTATTTGGCACTTCCTGTATAATGAAATATACACCGTGCGCTACTGGAGTGTTTTGACTGCTCTGTGCATTTCATCATTATTATTTCTCTTACACCAAAATTTAATCATTTGAGCTGTGATTTCTAAAATACTCCGGCTGGAGGAATTAGCCCGATAGTAACTTTTAAAAATATATCTATCATAGATCTAGGTCTTTTGATTCTACTGGTGGTGCCCATTGGCTAAGACCAGGGAACTGTGACCAGTGAGAGTTGAGGGGTTTTGCTGGCAGAGAGGGGCTGTGTGGGGCACCCCCCCCCCATCCACCCTCAAGGCCACAGAGGCACATTGGCTCCTTCTGAAAGTGGCATTGGGCTGAGGAAGGCAAAAGTCACCAGTTCCCCATTCTGCCTCCTGCACCCAAACGCCAGACCCGAGACCCCTCCCAGAGCCAACACCCCAAAATCCTTTCTGCACCCCAACCCTCTGCCCAAGCCCAGAACTCCTCTGAGCCACCACCCTGTATCCTGTCTTGTACCCTGACACTCAGTCAGCCCAGAGCCCCTTACTGCTCCCAAACTCCCACCCACAGCTTGCACCCCACATCCTCTCCTGCACCTTAACCCCTTAACCCCAGCCAAAATCCTGAATCTCCTTAAAACCCCCAACCCTCTGGTCTAGCATGGTGAAAGTGAGTGGTAAGGGGGAGGAAATGCAATGAGCAGAGCGCACGAACAAACACACACACACACACACACACACACACAGTTACCGGTGACACTGAGGAGTTGGGCAGGGCTGAGCTGAGATCTGTTCATCCAGTTGCCACTGTCCTGGATCTCGTACCCACAGGAGTAATTCCCCGAGCTGCCCCCAGACACCATGTGATCATAGTCGTAGGACATCTTCTCCTCCAAGACCCTGTGGATAAAAACCTCCTCCCCGTCCTTGCAGAACACGATGCGGGTGGCCAACGGTCTGGAGAACACAGAGCACCGGAGCCGCACGGTGTCCCCTGGCCAGGCAGACGTCTGGTTGATATAGAGGATGGGGGCAGGGAGAGCACCTGGCAAGGGAAAGGGGTCAGAGCTGTGAGTGGGGCATTGCTGGTGCCTGGTGCTGTCAGTGGAACAGGAGGTCAAAGGCAGGGGTGTGTGCTGTGTCAAGGATGGAGGCTCTGATCCCAGCCCACCTGGACAGATGTGGGGACGAGCTCTCTCCAAGACCAAGGGGCTTCGTTCCCTGAGATCTCTGGGGCTGCAGAAGAGCCCAAGGGCTGGGCGGGCTGGGCTCCCATTGCCTGGTGCTGCGCAGTGTCCTACAACAAGGGGCCCTGGTGTGGGCACCCACTGACCCAGCTGCAGCTGCATGGCCAGGAGACAGGTGGCCAATGAGCGAGGCTGGACACTGGTCGCTGGGGGCTGTCTAGAGCCTGGGCAGCACCCCAGCCTGCCTGCGCAGCCCATTTAGCTTAGGCAGTAGAGGCTCATGCATAAGTCTCCAGAGGTCCCAGTTTTGGTCCAATCTATGAGCATTACATCCATCCCGCCCCCATTCCCAGCTGGCACAGGGGGGCACCAGAAGCAATTCCAGGCCCAGGCTAAAGGAAGGTCCTGGAACAGCGACAGGGAGAGGATCCCCCTTTCCCAAGGACAACAGCCAGGGCGATGGGACCCAGCTCTGAGCTCCCTGGCTACCTGCCCCAACAGCACCCCCAGCTGGTGCCCTGTGCAGGCAGCCAGCAAAGAAACAGCCTAGCCACACCCACACATGGTCACTGGGTGCGGTTCCCTGTCCCGGGTCATATGGGAACTCAGCCTGGGTTATATAATAGGGACTATACACTCTCGAAAGCCACCTGCCCACCGTGAACTGACTAACAGTGCTGCTGATGTCTGGGAACAAGGTGCCCCAGCTGGTGCCCTGCCCAGGCAGCCAACATAGAAACAGCCTGGCCAGCCTGTACTGAACTGGACACAGAGTCACTGGGTGCAGTTCCCTGCTCCAGCTCATGTGGGAACTCAGCCTGGGTTATACAATAGGGACTATACACTCTCGAATGCCACCTGCCCACCCTGAGCTGACTCTGAACAGTGCTGCTGATGTCTGGGAACAAGGCGCAGGCTGAGTCTAGTAGGGGGTGACTCCAGGGCAGAGACATTCAGCCGTGGTGAGCCGGGAGTCAGTGTGTGGGAAGGTAAATCCCTTCGGGTCAGAGCCGACACATTCTCTCCTCCCCAGGACCACTGCCCGGGGCTGGGACAGTCGTCAGCGTAACTCCCTAAGCCACCTGTCAGACCCCTTCTGGGTCAGGGCGGAGCTGAGAGGCAGCAGGACAGGGAAGGGCTGGCTGGATCCCTGCTCAGATTCCACACGGCCCATTTGCTTCCCCATGTAATTGCTGCTGGCACTGCACCGATTAGAGAGCACCCCAAGAAGAGGTGGATGGACAACTGGAGAGAGAGCCATAGGCAGGCTAAGGATGGGCAGACAGACAGAGACAGACATTTGGACTCACCGGGAGCTGAGCAGATCTCCTGGCTGCTGGGGCTCAGCACTGGGAACAGAAAGGTGCCATGTGGTTAGTGCTGGAGATACTCCCTCCCCATTTTCTGAAATCGCTCTTGAGGGACAAAAACTGCCTTTATAAGGGAAAAAAGTCTGGCCCAGCAGAAGTGTTTGGGATTCCCCCTCTGAAAGAGCCACTTTCCTGCTCTGCAAAGACATTTCTAGACCCAGCCGTGCTGGGTAAAGCCTGGGAGAGCAGCAGGGGGAGAGAGCGCTGCATTGGAGGAGCCTGACACCCTGTTCCGTGTCATTGTGTGTTTGCTCCACCTCAGTGTTCACCGCCCAGCACATTGGGAACTACGGGCAGATCCTGGCACCTCTGACAGGGGATCCTGATGGGTTTGGCCCAGAGACTGTCAAGTGTGGGCATTTCTGCTGCCTCTCCCTTCGCTGCTGGGCTGCTCCTGCCTCTGCCTGGGAGCTGCCTCTGGGAAGCCTCCTGCTTGCTGTGCAGGGTGGGGGAGGGAAAAGAAGGGGGGCTGATGTCAGGGTGTCCCTCTCCCCAACCCTGTACCCCATCTCTACAGAGAGAGGGGGCATGGCCGGGCTTGCGATGGAGGGAGCTTGCTGTCACCTGCTCCTATGTCTGACTGCGCTCAGTGTATTTAAATGGGCAACGCTCATCCCTGTCAGTCACATACTGTGTGTATCTGTCATCTGCACGCATTGTGTTTCCCTGTGTCTCACTCACACGCACTCACTCTGTCATCCTCACCTCCTGACCCAACACATACTTGTGGCTGTTGTTACTTTTGCTTATTTCAAAGTGTGTGAGTTTAGGTTTGTGACTGGTCTGTGCATTTCCTCCTCCTTATTTCTCTCTTATGCTTAAACATAAATGTGAACGGTGAGTCCTCAAATGCCCAGCCTGCCCCGGCTGAAGTAATTACCCTGTGGATTTTTTTAAAATAACTTTTATTGATTGCTAGATTAGATAGATAGGATAGATGGTTTTGGTTTCTGCACATCTTCATATTGCATCAATAGGAAAATTAACAGCCTGAGTCAGGACAGGAGGATCAGGAGCTGCTGAGGTCTGAGATCTGCTCTGAATTGTGAGGGCCTTTCTTAAAATAATAGTGCACCTTTTCCCCAGCAGCCAGCTCACAGTAAGTCAATCAGTCTGTCTGTCAGATAGACAATCCCCCCCGGCCGCATACTCTTGTACTGTTGTCACTGTTTGGCATTTTCTGCATTGCACATACAGTCCGTTTGACGTTATTTCACAGTGGACTACTGGAGTGTTTCGACTACTCTGTGCGCTTCACTGTTATTATTTCTCTTACAGATCTTTTGTGTCTAGTGTAGTGCCATTGGCCAGGAAAAGGGAACTGTGGCCAATGAGAACTGAGGGCTGGTGCCAGCAGAGAGGATCAGAGTGTGGAGCCACATGCTCCCTGCCCCACAAATTGAGTAGGGGCCAAAGACACATTGGTCCTTTCCAGAGAGGCATGGAGCTGGGAAAGGCAGGAAGTCTGCTTTAACCCCACTGCTCTGCCAACTGGGAGCCACCTGTGGTAACTGCCATCCAGGGGAAGATTACACCCCAACTTGCAACCCCTTCCCCAAAACAGCACCCCATTCTCCCTCCTGTACCCCAAATCCTAACTCTGAGACCCCTCCCAGAACCAACACCCCACAGTCCTTCCTGAACCCCAACCCACTGCCCAAGCCCAGACCTCCTCTGTACCCCATCTTGCACCCTGACACTGTGCCCAGCCAGATCCCCTTACTGCTCCCAAACTCCCACCCAGAGCTTGCACCCCTCCTCCTCTCCTGCACCCAAACCCCTTAACCCCAGCCAAAACCCCTCCTCAAAATATGTAACCCTCTGGTCTAACACAGTGAAAGTGAGTGGGAGGAAATGCAAGGAGCAGAGCGTGCGCAAGGACGCCACTTACCAGTGACACTGAGGTGCTGGGCAGTGCTGAGCTGTGATCTATACACCCGGTGGTCACTGTCCTTGATCTCGTAGCCACAGGAGTAATTCCCAGAGCTGCCGCTGGACACCACGTGCTCATAGTTATCGGTGTTCTTCTCCTCCAAGGCCCTCTGGGTAAAAACCTCCTCCCCGTCCTTGCAGAAGACGATGCGGGTGGCCCAGGCCCAGGAGAAAGCAGAGCACTGGAACCGCACGGAGTCCCCTGGCTGGACCAGTGTTTTGTTCATACGGAGGGAGGGGGCAGGGAGATCACCTGGCCAAGGAAATGGGTCAGAGCTGTCAGTGGGGTGCGGGTGGTGCCTGGTGCTCAGATGGAGGCTCTGATCCCCACCTAGCTGAGCAGATAGGGGAGGGGGACGAGCTCTCTCCAGGGCTCAGGAGCTTCATTCCCTGGGATCACTGGGGCTGTAGAAGAGCCCAAGGGCTGGGCGGTTACAGATGGACCGGCCTGTGCTGGGATGGAAACAGGGTTCCTGAGTGTGGTTCCCTGGCCTGGGTCATATGGGAGCTCAAGCCTGGGTTACATGAGTCTGGTTGTGCCCTCTCAAAAGCCACCTGCCTGCCCAGAGCTGATTTTAAATGATGCTACTGATATTTAGGAGCAAGGTGCAGGCTGAGTCTACTGGGGGGAGTGGCAGGATAATCTTCAGGGGACAGACCTTCAGCTTCCCCTTGGCCAGTGCCCTGACGGTGGCACAAGAGTGGGTGTGACTCTCTGACCCACGTGTCACACTGGCTATGGGTCAGGGCAGAGCTGAGAGGCAAAAGGAATGTAAAGGCCGAGCTGGATCCCTGCTTATATCCCACACTGCCTGTTTTCATTCCCATGCCATTGCTGTTGGCACTGCACAGAGGTGGATAGAGAACTGGAGAGACGGGGGTAAATGCCACAGGCAGGTTGGGGACAGACAGACATTTGGACTCACCGGGAGCTGAGCAGATCTCCTGGCTACTGGGACTCAGCGCTGAGAACAGAAAGGGGAAGTGTGGTTAGTGCTGGAGATATAATCCTGCCTTTTCTGAAGACCCACTTCAGAGACAAAACCTGCCTGTAACAGACGGAGACATAATTTCCTGATTCCTGTTTTTGTAAAGAAGCAAACGTGTGAGGACGTTAGATCTGCGGCGGGGCGGGGCAGGGCAGATCCCTCAGGCACAGTCCTCTGCTGAGCTGGGGCTGCCTCTCCTTTCAGCTCTCTTCAGCACCAGATCCTCAGCTGGTGTTAATCACCATTGACTCCAATGGACCGACACTGATTTACACCAGCTGGGGATCTGGCCCAGGAGCTCTCACAGTGAGGCTACATCTGCACTGCAGGCTTCTTGTGCAACAACCCTTCTGCGCAAAAACTTCTTGAGCAAGAGCATGTCTACACCTCAAAGGGCATCACAAAAGCCGTGTGTTTTGTGCAATAGAGTGTCCGCACTGCATGGACGCTCTTGCACATGAAGGCTGTGATGGTCATTCACAGAATGGCCATCAGAGCCCTTGTCCTTTTTCCCATAGGGATTTCGTTGGCAGGAAACCCCTGCAGAGTGTCCACACCTGCCGTTTTGTGCAAGAACTCTTGCACATCAAGGAGTTATGCCTCATAAAAGCAGGTTACCGACACTGGAAAAAGCCCTCTGTTCTGCTGTTTGACTGCTGATTTACTTGAGCAAAAGAACATTTGAAGATAGGACGCTCCGCGGGTTTTTGTGCAAAAACCTTGCAGTGTAGAGGTAGCCTCAGTGTTTAACCTGGTTCCCATTTCTCTCACACTAAAGTGGATTTGCCAACAGTCTGGCCCAGGGGCTGCTCTTGGTTCTGTTGCCTCCCAGCCTGCTACGAATTAGCCCAGAATTCCTGGATACTCACCGAGCAGCAAGAGGCACAGAGACAGGAGCATCTGGGTGATGGCAGAATGGAATCAGCCAAACATCTTCAGCTGTTGATGGGGTCAGAAGTGGACATTCTGATGTTTCCCCTTCTCTGACCTGACCGCACTGCCCTGTCTGACTTCAGTGCAGGGAAGCTCCCGTCTCGCTCTCTGCTCCCGTTTGCTCCCCAGGGCTGGATGCTTCAGCCAGCAGCTTTCCGTGCTCTAAAGCCCTCTGGGGTCAGCAGGGCTGAGGTAGCAGAGACGCTGCAGCCTCTCTCTGACCAGCTCCGTCCCCTCTGTGTGCCTCATAATCACCACTGCTCCCCATTTCCTGTCCCATGCTGTTCCCCTTTCGTGATCCGGCCACAGCGTCTCTATTTAGGGCTGCGAGACTGAGAACTGAAGGGGCCTGGTTTGCTTGTTTGAGTCTAAAATTATCACCAAAGAAACACCTCCCGTCCCATCTCGCTGCCTGGGGCCCGAGACAGCCCCTGGGTAACGGCACAGCTGGGCCAGGGTGAAAGGTCACAGGATAACTGTGGGGTTGGGGAGGGGGAGGGCTGGGATTTTGGGGGAGCCTGAACCTTTTGCTTCCACCCTGGTCTCCAGTGCCCCATGAGAAGAACCCAGGTGCCCCAGGGAGAAATTCCTGAAGGCTCTCAGGAGTCATAAATGGAGACTGGGGCTTATACACAGGGATGAATTTCTGCCCCGTAGAACTTCTACGACACCTACCGCAGGACTGCTCTGGTCCCCACTTGGCTAGTCTCCACCCACCCTCTCTTCCACACTCAGCTCCAGCCACTTCTGCCCCTCCTGCCCTGACTGATCTGCTCCCCATTCTGGACTCCCAAGGACTTTGCTCTCCCTGCTGAGCGATGGGCACCAGGGCCCAGCCGGATGGGGAAGAACACAAATGAATTGAAAATGAGCATCCAGAAGTGACCTCTGAGCAGGTGGGAACCAGAATCAGTGGGACTAAGGAAGTGGGGAACGAGGGCAAAAGTCCAAAGAAACGTGAGAAAGAGAGAAAATCTCCTGAATAGATGTTACCACCTTTGGGGGAAGCCAAACAGGGGAAGACCCCAAGGGAAATGCCTCAAGAGCACAAGGAAGGGCCATTTTGCAGAGTAATTGATGCAGAAGCAGATTGTCCTGGGATGGAGGCTGGGCACATTTTACCCCTGGGTTGGAGTTAGCACTGTAGGGCAGCTGGACAGGGGGTGTTTGGGGAGTTCAGGCGAGAGTCAGAGGAGCCCAGTTGGAGTCTGGCTGTTACCAGTGTAACCATCACAGCCAGGGCAGGGTTCAATATCCATACAACCAACCATACAATAGGGCTATGTCTACACTGGCATGATTTTCCGGAAATGCTTTTAATGGAAAAGTTTTCTGTTAAAAGCATTTTCGGAAAAGCGCGTCTAAATTGGCAGGATGCTTTTCCGCAAAAGCACTTTTTGCAGAAAAGCGTCCGTGGCCAATCTAGATGCTCTTTTCCGCAAAAAAGCCCCAATCGCCATTTTCGCGATTGGGGCTTTTTTGCGGAAAACAAATCTCTGCTCTCTACACTGGCCCTTTTGCGCAAAAGTTTTTCGGAAAAAGACTTTTGCCCGAACGGGAGCAGCATAGTATTTCCGCAAAAGCACTGACAATCTTACATGAGATCGTCAGTGCTTTTGCGGAAATTCAAGCGGCCAGTGTAGACAGCTGGCAAGTTTTTCCGCAAAAGCAGATGATTTTGCGGAAAAACTTGCCAGTCTAGACACAGCCCTTGGGTGGAGTGGGATCAGGATCTTTGCCCTGGTTCTGCTACCCAGCTACTGTAAGAGTTGGGGCACAAGGAGACCCGTAGGTGGGCCACAGCCCACCTGTGATGAAATAAATTTAGAGACAAATTAAATTTAAATCAGTTAGCTTCCACAACAGTGAGAAATAGCTTAGATTGAGATCACCTCCATTTTACTGAAGAATCTGGGTTTATTTTTTAGAATATTTCTGAAAAAACACAGTAACATTTTTCTCTGGTGTGCAGAAATGTGTGGATTTTATGCTCACTTTTCCTTGCTGGACTGTGGAACCTAATTAACTAATATTTAACATATAAATGAGAACCCCTTGTACAAACAATATAAAAACCAGAAAAATAAACAATCAACATAACAATGAAGGTATATAACAATGAAAGAGGCAAGGTTTTTACCTCCCATATTTTATAACTAACAGTGCTTTGTGTTTCTATGCTGGAAAGTTAACAACAATATTAATGTGCTGCAGAATAATTCAGAGCAACAGGGAAACAACTTGCTTTTTGCTTCTGTAGCTGAGTTTCTCTCAGCCCATATAGGTCATACGATATCTGCAAAGCACCTTCCCTGATTACTTGTTTTCAAAGCAGTTTGAGTCTTGGCACAGGGAGACAATGGAGCATGGTCAAACATACAACGCCCAGTTTCAAAATTTGAGGGTGTCCGACGCTAACTGTGCATCTGCCTAGCAAAAATGCCCCAGACACAACTTATTCCTCCCCTCTGCTCTCTGTCTTTTACAGAGAGCTCCCTAGAGTGGAAACACTCTTTGGGTATGTCTACACTACCCTCCTAGTTCGAACTGGAAGGGTAATGTAGGCATACCGCACTTGCAAATGAAGCCTGGGATTTGAATTTCCCGGGCTTCATTTGCATAAGCGGGGAGCCGCCATTTTTAAATCCCCGCTGGTTCGAACCCCATGTAGCGCAGCTACACGGGGCTCGAACTAGGTAGTTCAGACTAGGTTCCTATTCCGAACTACCGGTACACCTCGTGGAATACCCACCTCTGTAGACAGCAGAATACCCACCTCAAGTACAGAATATTGAAGAAGGAACAGAAACCATTTTCATGGCTCCTCATCCAGCACCCATGCACTGAATCCCAACTACATTTTGCTGTTATTATTTACTAGAAGGTTTACTTGGTGTTCCTTGGATCCTTAATTAATTTGTGGAGGGAGGGGGTGGAAAATAAACTGAAAATGTCCATGATTCATTGAAATCATTGATCTGGGCTGGGGCTGGGGTGTTCAGGAAGCAGGCTGTCTTGGTCAGAGAGGACGACCCCAGCCCTCTCTCACTGCACCTCTCTCCTGGCCCCACACACCCAGCCGGGAGCCATGTGGCCATGTGGCTCAGCATGCTGCCTTGGGCCTGCACACTCTTTGGCTGGGCCTGCCTATAGGCACATCTTAGGGGGGCTGCATGTCCCCTAGCTGGGGCAGGTCCAGGTATGTCTGCCCTCTATACCCAGAGAGAGGAATGCAGCAAACTGTGCACTTTCCTTTTGCTGGCTGTTCCCCTTCATCCAGGAGCAATATTGCCATACAAATGGGG